AATTGTATCGGGATGCTGTGATCCTAGAATCTCGATTCGAAGTTCCAGGACTTTTCGCTGAATCTTCTCGGCTTCCTCTAATTGGCCGCGGCCATAAATGGTGGTTGCGAGGTCGCCCATTGTGAGAATCGTATCGGGATGCTGTGGTCCTAGAATCTCGATCCGAAGTTCCAGGACTTTTCGCTGAACCTTCTCGGCTTCTTCTAATTGGCCACGGTCATGGAGCGTGGATGCGAGGTTGCTCATTGCAACGATCGTATCAGTATCTGGTAAGGAGGTAGGCTCACTTTTTTTTGGTCTCACTGTAACTTCGTTAACGACTGGGATCTCTTCATTATGTTCCTTATGTTCAGGACTGCTAGATGGAACACAGTCTTTGAGGTGTGTGACCAAAGAAATATAGGTGGGGTCCGAATTCGATAGAAATTTGACGATATCCGTATGGTTCGCCGGAACTGGAATTTGAATTTCGTGCCGTAAGTTCACGAAAGCCGCAAATGGGGCGACTGCTTGAACCTCTTCTCCAGATCTTTCATATTTCCCAGTTTGTGAGGACTGTATTGGAATTAACGAAGAATAGTTCCTCCTAAACCGATATCCATACCTTCTTCACAGCTCGAGATTTGAGTAGCTCATAGAAGCTAACTACCTTCATCTTGTCTAGAATCTCTGCGATATCTTCTGATTGCGATTCCAAAAATTCGGAACCAGCACGCAGTTTTCGCAACAGATCGATTGTATCCTCTGAATCTGGAATCAAATCCCTTGCCATCTCTTCTAGCTCTTCTGTTCGTAAACCTTGATGTGGAGTACCAAAGAAGAAGACGCCTTTGGTTGCATCGAGAAGACGCCTTTGGTTTGATCGAGGCTTTCGTGATTGGAGTAGAGTCTGGCGAGATGAATCAACTTTTCACACTCTCCAATCATTGCAGATAAAGCTACCTGGATAATTAAGATACCACCGAGCGAGTGGCCAATAAATATAATAGGACGAGATTGTGCCTGCGGAGTAGAAGTGAGATGATATCATCAGAAGAATCCTAATTAACCACACCGATTTCGAAGACCTTGCAATGTACAGTTGGTCCACGAAAAACCGGGCATAGTCCAGCATGCGGCTCGTTCCCTTGTTGGCCTCTATCCGACTATCGTATCCAAACGTCATGATTCGAACACCAGAAAGGTCTCTGGGTAGGAAATCTTGGAGCCACATTCGATGACTTTGATGACTCTTCCAGGATCCGTATGGGTGGCCAGCGAGCCCAGTGACAGCAACGACGCTACGAAGACAATAAGAGCCGTGAACCAATGTTGAGTTTGAACTCACTCGGCGAGGATATCTTTTGGTGGAGTGTTGAGGGGCGTCAAACCGTTGAAGTCGCAATCGATCGACAAGTCTTGATCTTGCGCACAGGCGAAGAACGGCTTGTAAGGTACGACTCGTTTAAAATATTCTGTGCAGTGGGATAGGTTCAACATGCCAACTTGACCGGATCCATGACAAGCTGGATAAAGCGAGATTTTGAACTCATCGTCGCAGAGGTTGGGATCAAGTGTCTGCAAGCACTGACGGAGAGTATCTACACTCCAACCATCTGGAATACCGGATATCCTGAGACATTTTGACTTTGGTGCGGCGTTATTCGTGGCTAATTGTATGTTCGTTTCTACAGGAATCGTATGGCCTTGGGACATCGTGGTTGGGGCCTGTACGGCAAGAGTATAGTCAAGATCTCGGGACATGTACAAACGACTGTCGGGTTCTTTATATCTTCGAATGGTATATTTGACAGTAAAGGGCAGCTGGAACTTAATTGGCGTCAAGCATTGATAATATAATTGCTTGATCGATAGATAGAGACTGGCAACACTGGCAATTAGTCTGCCTTGGACGTAATAAGAAATTTGATTGAGAAAGTGTACGGAACAAAATATTTATATTAGAATCATAGTTCTCCGTAGACTGCCTACTCTAGAAAGACTGCAGTAGTCCTGTGGCGCGCATGATATCGATATGATCAAGTCGTCCAAATTTTGCTGTCATTCAACTAAACCTAGTTCCTAAGCCT